ATACCGTGTAAAGACCCTAAGACTTTAGCCACATAGGCATTTATCCTTGTAGTGAACCTAACAGAATGGTACATGTCCCACACATGTACTCACCTACATGTTCGGTAACTTTTCCCCAACTAGAATATGTTGTGCTGCCGCTACCGGGTCTGTATCTCAAGCTATCATTTCGGATACTGCCATAACCCAATTCGTATCTCAAGCCACAATCTTTCTAATTAGTTTTCACTTACGTACTCCTGCTCTTGCAAGATTCACAGCAACCCCAGTACCCATGTTCCAACTTCCTTCTTTCCCGGATTCCTTATTGGTTCCTCCCTTACTTCTAGCTGGCAACCCAGAAGAGTTGGTTTGCCCAGGCTCTAGGTGCCTTACAGTCTCCCTCTCCTTGGCACATACTTCTGGAGCACAAGTCCTTTTTCTCTGGTGGCGAGCCGGTGGTTCGGCTGGTGTGTCCTCCTACTTAAGGACCTGGTCGCTCAGTTCTCCGGTCTCAGTTTCTGGTTCCAAATTCAGTCTTCCTGTAGTACTGTTGAAGATCACTGCTACTCCCAACTCAGGACTTGCCAAATAGGTTTTCAGTAATTCTGGTTTTCTGGATTTATTGCGCCAAAGCTCCCATTCGAGATGGTATAACCAGGATTACAGATATCTGGATCCAACTGATAATCTTAATGTTAACCAATACAGATCTAGTTTTTTCAAAATCGTCATCCATGGGATTCGAACTCTAGATCTGCTATTTGGGGTGTGATATTAAAAGTATTTTCAAGCAGTATGCCTAATATAATTAACTAGTAATTAAAATAAATTTTTATTAAATTTAGCAGATTATGATAAAATAAATTAATATTTAAAAAAAATTAAAATTATTATTAATTAAAGTTAGAGTTTAAACTATAGTGCAGACATTCTTAAATTAATATATAAAAAACATAATCTTTAAAAGCTTATAAATAAAAAACTAAAATAGATATAAATCAAATCTTTTTATAAAATAATAAAATCAAATCTAAAAAACAAAATTATTAAGTTTGATTTTTAAATCAATAAAGTTATTTCTTTTAAAGCTAATTTATTTTATTAATTAAATTAAAATTTTGGCTACTTTAATTTAACCAAAATTATTAATTATAATTTTAATTTTGGCCAAAATTATTAAATAAAAACACACTATATTTAAATTTAATATTAAAAAAATTTTAATTTTTTTTTTCTCTTTTATATATATTTCTAATTTAATATATATTTACAGTATACTATTTAATTATATTTGGTTATTTTTGTATAATATAGTTTAAATCGTACTCTCGTTAGAAATAACCAGAAGCTTAAATAAGTAATCTTCTAGTTAGATTGCAGGTATAGTGGCTAGTATAGAACCCAGACAGACTACTTAAATTAGATACCCAAAAGGTGCACGTGTGGCTTGTTGTATCTTTGTAAAATAGATGTAATATCATAACTATCTGAATAAAGCTCATGCCAATAGCCTAAGTGGTCATCTTAATATTAAAAAAAAAATAATAATAATAATATAGTTTAAAATTTAACTACTATATTTACAACATGTTAATTTAAAAATATCTGCACTATAATATTAAAATTAAAGTTTTTTTTTTATTTTATTTTATTTTATTCTTTGATAAGCTTGCTAGGTGTTTTGAGTAAACATAATTCATATTACAAAGAAAAGATTTCTATACTATACTACAGACAGTTCAAAACTCTGAAGGCTAACACCACCTGGCTACTATTTGGTTCTAGGTGTACCCTGTCATGCTGTTTAGATTTTAAACAGATAATAATGGTGGCCTATTTAGAACTGCCTATTCTGTCTTTTAAGACTTTTTCTATCTAAGTTTGAATAGAATATTTGATCTTTTATTCTTCTACAAGAAACAACAATATATACTACATTTATGAGAAAAAAAACTATCTAAAACAAGACAGAAAAAAGAAAAAAAAAAAGTAAAAAAAAACAAATAAATATAACAAAAAACAAAAAAAAAAACCTATTCTAAATATAATTTCATTATAGTAAAACAAAAATAAAAAAAGCAAAAAAATAAAAGTAAATAGTCCTAATAAAAACCACCTATAAGAAAAAGTGTACTATTATAATCTGTGCAAGGCTACAAAATTATATAACAAATGCAATATCTGTATATCTCTACTGTAAGACTTTGCTTTAACATATTGGTTTCTTTCTAACTTGATGACCAAATCCAGATAAGCCTTTAACCAAGAACTAGTCAGTGGGCCTTGTTATATGGAGTAGCGACATGTTTATTCTCAAACAAAACATGTGATTGCAATCTACCGAGTCGACTGGATTTAGAAGAAGTAAACAATGCCAATTTTTTAATAGGGATAAGCTGTTTTGCCTACTTTTTTCAAAAATTTTGAAAAATAAGCAAGTGGGTAATAGTGTAAAAGATAGCCCTTGTACTCTTTTTAAAGAAGTGTATATTTTTTTCCAAAAGTAGTAAAACATAGAGAGCCAAGTTTACTGCTAATTTTCTTGTCAATAAATGATAAACCCTGAACTTGTTAGCAAGTAGCATATAAGAACTACTTCTAAATAACAAATGCTATCCTTACGGTAAGTAATAAGCTCTGGGTTTGTTAACAGGTGCCAGTTTATGGTTTTTATCAGTCTTATGCTTTCTTTTTTACTATAGTCTACTATTTTTTAAAAAAACATTTGTTGTGTTTTTTGGTACAAGGGATTATTGAAAAGAGTTTAATAAGTATTATGATTAAAATTAAAGTTAAAAAATACAATATACATAACAAAATTAAATATTAAAAACTTTTAATTAAAAGTTTAAAATTAGTTTATATAGTGTATCAAGTTATTTCTCATTAAATATACTAAATTTGAATATATATAAATACTATTTACTAATTCTAATTAGATAAAAAAAAATTATAAAAAAAATTTTTAAAATTTTTTATATTAAATACCAAAATTTTAAAAGCATAATAGCTTTAAATATTTAAACCTTTAAATTATAAACTTTTTAAAAAATTCTAACTAATAATTTGAATAATACTAATAGAAAACAATAGTTTTTATTAATTATATTTTTAAAAAATATTTAAAGCTTAAGATTTTAATAAGATGTGACTTAATATATTATATAAAAATTAACTAATATTTTTTACAAATAATTATCACCTGTGATTTACAAAAATAATTAATTTTTATCAAAACAAAAAATTAATCTCTTTAAGATTAGAGTAAGAATTAGATATTAGAATTAAGGTTAGAGTTAGAATAGTGCTTTATATATAGTAAAATTTAGCAAGAAATTTTTTTTATTAAAGTTTAAAAAGTGGTTTTATAAACAAAATTTTAAGATATAAGTATTTTTTTAAAACATTCTTTGTTTTGTTATACAAAATTGATTTACATATTACACCTGATTCTAAATTTTAATTAGCAAATTGACTACAGGTAATAATCACCTGTGATGTAAATTAGAAATATTCTATTATATAATAAAATTTTAAAATATTTATTTTTAATTTTTTTTTTGTTTTTTTTAGTTTTTTATTTGTTTTTATTATACAAAATCTTGTAATCTAATTAGTTAATCATATTAATCTGTAATATATATAATAGCTTATAATATATATTTAATAATATTTTTAAAATAATATCTAACTATTATAATATAATATATATTATTAATTTAAAGTTTTAAAGTTTGATTTAATAAGTTTAAGTTTGACAAATTTTTAAATCAAATTTAAATTTAAATATTAATTTTTTACAAGCTTTTAAACTTAAATTAAATTCAAACTTAATTATAAGTTTAATTTATAATATACTTTCTCTAACTCTATTAATCTTATATTTAATAGTTTTAAAAACAACAAAATTTTATTCATAAAACAAATCACAATAGCAAATAATAATTATCTTCTTTTTTGGAACAATATTTATCTTTATATAAACAAAACAACTAGAGGTCTTCAATCTTTATAGTGTTATATTAGTGATATATTAGTATTTTTTAAATTTTTATTAAGTAACTCTATGTAACTTCTAATTGTAGTACAAATCTGATTCTACCAATGGAATCCTTGATATTAATTTCCTTAGTGTAATTTTTACTATTTGTCAATCGGGTTAATAGTTAATGAGTTATTAAGATTTAAAGATATATACTTATAAAAAATGACAAATAACAATCTGTCACCCCTGTGATGCAGGACCCATTGGTACAGGCGAAATTATAATCTTGCTCGGTTAGTGATCATGTGATGATCATCGGGTAATATTCAATAAACATTCCATTCAATGCTCATATGATAATACTGTAGTACTATGTAATGTAGATCATTTTTAAAATATTACTTTTTATTTTCAATATGTGACACAACAGACACTCTTGTAAAATGCGTTATTAGTAGTTGAAGAACATACGCAAGTAAACAAATAAAACTTTATTAGTCATATATTTTAAAATGATTCATTATTATTATATTTTATATTAATACGTCAATTAAACACAATAATTATATTATCTACCCCTAGTAAATTAACTTCTGTATTTGCGTAAGATCCAGTTACTCTTAAAATGCAGGTTTTAGTGCATTTTAAAATCAATATATTTATTTGTAATTTATATCGATATTAAGCTGAACCCGTAAATTTAACACTGTTTAACTTAGATGTTATTAAAGTTAGTTAAAAGTTTGAGTTTTACCTGTTGCAAATATGTGTAAATCCAATTTGAGTTATGAATTTATAACCGGTTCTAATCTTCAATACAAAGAATAAATAGAAAATATATTAGTTAAATTTATTCTGTATATATATTTTATATTATCAATAAACTATACTTATCTTTGTAATTAAATAAAATCATACTGGTCAAACATCGTTTTGAATAATAATTAGTTTTTGGGTGTTTTAAAACTTTTTTTTTTTAATATACAATTATTTAATAGTATTATGGCTTCCACAAATAGCTAATCTTAAAATTATGTTACCTATAAAACTAAACCAAATTACCACTGAAACTTCTAGCATACTGAAGTATACTGAAGTATATCAAAGTATAATATAAATGATGTAATGTTTCATGTAAAATAAAAATGTTTCATGCAAAATAAATCATAAATATAATAGTAACTTTATATTTGCATCGATGTAATACTCTCTTTACTTTATAAAAGCAATCCTTTTCATTTACTAAATGCTTAGACCTGAATCTTAAGAGGTTCTCCCCAGTGTTATAAATTCAAAAAATTTTTATTGGCACAAATGCAAAAAAAATATGCACTAAGAAAAAATTTATACGTGTGTTATATATATGGGGAGCACTGATATATGCGCAAATTTAAATCTATGTGTACTGCACCTACTGCGCTGATTCAATTTATATCACTGGTTCTCCCTGAGATTTCTTAAACGTGCATATCAATATAATTTCTTTTTAATTTTCATTAATAGATCTAAATTTGATATTAAACACTACTCAAACAAATATATTTTCTATTTCGCTGTCAGATAATGAAATCACCCAAGATAACCCTACTGTTTTGTAGTATGTTTTATCTCAGGAATATGATTATATCATCGATTCATTTAGGGTAGTTCAAGCACATAACTTCTTGGGTGCATATACAGAACCATTCAAAGCAAAGTTCTGTGTGAATATTTTTACTAAAAACAATACTAAAATGTGGCTTAATAAGTTCCTTAATTTATATAAGATAACCATGAGAGAAACCCAAGGACAAATTGTAAAAGGCATTCGTTGCCTTTTTTCTAAGCGTTATCATTGTATCTATAGCCATGTAGTGAAATTAAAACAGGAACAAAAAAAAGATAATAAAGTTGATGATGAAATAAATATAAATATAGAACATAGAATAAAAGAAAAGAGTAAAGTTAGCACACAAGTACGGGATACTGACTGCCCAGCAATATTAAGTATAATAGTTCAAAATAAATATGATCCTCATCTTTGTATAATTTCACTACTTTTTCATCATAATCACCCTCTGGCATCGAGTCACGCCACAAGCTTCTGCTCTATATCTGATAATACAAAAGAAATATTTTTTAAACTCTTTAAAGCTGGACATAACTCTGCAAGCATATATAATACATACCTAGAAGAAGTTCAATTAAAATATGATAATGATGAAGTGGTACTAGCTGATAGAGCAATATGTCCACACAAATATGATGTTTATAACCTTTATAAAAAATATCTTAATAAATTAGTTGATATACAAAATGAAAAAAAAATGTTTTCACGTTTAGCTGAGAAGGTTGAAGAGTTTAATACTAGTAATAAAGGAAATGCTTGGATGCAACTGTATATTGTACCAACAGACAATAAACCTAACCAACCTTTTATATTAGTTATTGTTACTAACCTTATGAGACACTGTCATTCATTGCAACAAGCTAGTGAATTAGTATATATAGATGCTACTGCAGGTCTTGATAATCTTAATACTCCCTTAACTGTTATTTCAACAAGCACACCTATTGGTGGCTTACCTCTTGCTACAATATTAACATCAGATGAAACTGCATCTACTTTAACAAGTGCCTTGGAAGCATTAAAACATATAATACTATCTACTGCATTTGGTGGATGTGAATCTATTACTGGACCACAAGTAATTATAACTGATAATTCTAGTTCAGAAAGGAAAGCATTATGCTGTGTTTGGGAAAAGTCAACTTTGTTGTTATGTAGTTTTTATTTTTTACAGACAATATAGAGATGGTTATGGGAAGGAAAGCATAATATTTATATGAGTGATCATGTTATTTTTATTGAACATGTAAAAAAAATTGTTTATGCATAGACTGAGGTTATACTTAATACAGCATATGCAGAACTTACAACAAGTCAAACATACCTTAAATATTTAAATTTTCAAAAGCATTTTAAAGTTTTGTGGGAGCGTCGCAAAGAATGAGCCATTTCTTTTCGTCAACAGCTTCCTACTCACAATAATAACACAAATAATATTGCTAAAGCTGAAATCCGAATTATAAAAGATATTATTTTTGGGTGAATACAAGTATTTAATGTAGTACAAATTCTTCACTTCATTGTAAATACAATGGAATTATATTATACTCGCAAACTGCTAGCTGTAGCCCATAATAGGCAAGATAATTTTATTTCACTATATTTTTGACTTTCAGGTTGAAAAATTGGATCTATTGATGATATTAAAATCATAAATATTAATTCATTGATATTCAAGCATAAAAGTAGCAAAAATCTAGACATATAGTATTTCATAGATATGAAGCTTGGAATATACAAATGTAATTCAACAAGTGCTTCATATAGACACCAGTCTTCAATAGCAGCTCATTATAATGTTTGTGGTTTGAATCAAATACCCACAATGACAGTAAGCAGCTATTATCATTATGCTTATCTAGCATTAGGAAAGAAGCGTCAAGAACTTGAATTCTATTTAGATCTTCATTAAGCATGGCTTGAACAAGAACAATATATCAACACTATACCTGCAACAATAACTGATAATGATATAATTAGTATAAACTATAAAACTAATTTTAATAATTCAAATAAAAAAAATATACTTCCTGAATCTGCATCCTTAGTTTCTTTACAATTTTCAATTAATGATAATATCAGTGATAATGAATATGATATTCAAGACAATAATGCTAGTAATAATACAAGTATTAGTGATAGTGAAGATGATGATCAAGATGATGATCAAGACGATGACCAAGATGATGATCAAGATGAAACCAGTAGTAATACAAGTAAAGACAATAATGACCTTCATCAATCTGCCATGAATGAATTCCAGTGGTTTTGCAATGATCTTAAAAGTCTTCTTAATGAAAATGACTCTACATTAGATAAAAGTATATGCAAGTTTATCAAAGTTTATAAGCAACATTATCTCTTAAAAGATACTTATATTTGACCAGCAATATCTTCTTTTTTTCAAACATGTAACTGGAGTGCAGCCCAAGCTAATGGTAATAGTCACTAGCACAGAGAAAAAAGAATTCAAGTTCAAGTTACTGCAACTGCAAGACACAGAAAAAGATTAAATTATAGGCTTAAAAAAGTTTAGCAAGAAAGACCAATAAAAAGTATGTATAATAATGTGTGTGAAACTGATACACAAGATCTAAACCATTTTATTATGCCTCCATGAAAAAAACAGAAAAAAAAGAAAACACATGATCTTTAACAAGCTTTAAAAGAAAATCAATTGAATGGTATATAGAAAATAAAATAAGTTATATGATTTACAATTTAGTATATCTTAACATTAGTTTGCAAAGAGCTTTAGTAATTATTTTAAAGATTTTATATACATATGAATTATGGAGATCACCAAATTATGTTGTAATTAATTTTAGTTTTATACAACTAAGAAACGCTTAAGAAAATAATATAAAAACAAAATGCTAAAAATTTATATAAGTAAATTTCGTCTTTGCTAAGCTATATTTTAAAAATAATGATTTATTAAAGTTCAATATAAAAGTAGGTTTGTATGTAAAAAGTACATAGTGATAGCCTTTATTTTTTAATGGAGGTAAAGAATAATGAACCTAGATTTTAGCCCTCTTTTAGAAAACTTACAAGAATGAGATAAAGTTATAAGATTATCTTGTCATACGTATGGACATATTTCTTTAATTGTATGTTATACAACTATAAATTCATATGTATTATGTTTATTAAATATTACTCGATGATCATCACATGACCACCAACTGAGCACAGATTATAATTTTGCTTGGTACAGACCCGTTGGTATGGACCCGTTAACACAGACCTGTTGGTACAGACCTGTTGATACAGACCTATTAGCACAGACACAAACCCATTGATACAAAATATTATTCGTTCTTGTATAGAGTTCTAAAAGATATAAAAACATTATCCTTTTGCCCAAGGCAGAATAAGTTCTACCTTGTTTTGCTAGGTCTTAACTTATATTCTTCTAACTATTCTCTAATAAATAAATATTATCCTTTTAACTATATACTTGTTATATTATATACTCTCTTTTATTGCCTTTTTATTATTCTTTGTTGCTTCTTTTTATTACTTTCTATCTTGATTTTATTGTTTCTTTTATTGCTCTTTCTTACTACTTTCTATCCTAGTTTTATTATTCTTTGTTAGTTTTCTTCTTGCTTTCTATATTTTTATACTATATAGTTTATATTTCTTGCTTTTAGTTTTCTTTTCTTTCTTTTCTCTTTTTCCTTTTATTTATATTTCTTACCCTTTATATATTAAGTCAAGTGGTATAAATAACAAGGCTAGTTATCTATGCTATAATAGTTTACTTGACTTCTACAAATAATACAAATCAATTCTTTTCAAGCCACATAGCCACAACTTCAATTATCTTTAATAAATAGCTTCATCAATATAACTAATCTAATTTTTTTTTTTAAATACAAACTTTCCTTCTAGCTGTTTTCTAATAGTTAAGAGATAACTTTTTGTATTATAATAAATATCAACAAACTCTAATTTATGAAACTGACTAATTAGCAGAATTGCTCAAAAGTTAAATAAGCCTAATAAAATCCATTAATTTATTATCAAATTTCAAGCTTATAAATCTTTTATATAAACAAATTAAGTTTAATAATTTTTTAATACAAATTAACTATAAAGAAATTTTTAATATTATTGATATTGCTAATAACTTCAGCTTATCTTCAATTTTTTCTTCCTTCTAACTACAAATTAATATTCACTTCTAGAAAATATATTTAATATATCATATTATTAAATCTCCTTATTATCAAAATTAATTTATTCAAATATATAATAATATATTAGATCTAAATTTAACCAATTATTAATTTGCTACAAATATCTTTATTTAAAATCTTCAAACAAAAAATATATAAACTAGTATAGCTAAATCTGTAAAAATAATTTATCTATTAAATTTAATATAGCAATTATTCCTTTTTTTAACTTCTCTTACTCTGAGCTAATAGTAATTATTCCTCTTTTACTTGTTATTCTAATTAATTTTACTATTACTATTTTTATAGATAGCTTGTTAATAATCAAAAATCTATTTAACTTCTCTTTTTCAAAACTTATTCAATTTAAAAACTAAGATATAATTTCTATTATTAATTAACAAATCTACTAGAAATATTTCTATTAACTCTATTAAAGTCAAATTATATTCAACTAATTTCTTTTACAATCAAGCTAATCTACTAGCTAAACAAGGCTCTATTAAACCTCTTTTAACAATTTTTTATACATACTTTAATTTTTTTACTTACTTCTCATAAAACAATCATATTATTATATTTAAAATATACTCTTTTATCAAAAATATTATTATAATTTAAAAAATTATATCCTGGTTATCTTTTAAACCTTTTAACAATTATACATTAGATATAAACTAAAATCTAACTTTTAAAATACTTAACTCTCTAGAATATAATTCTTACAAATACTCTTTCTATATTAAAATCCTAACAAATAACCTTTTAATAATACAAAATTTTAATATTTATTACTCAAATCTATATACAACAAATAAGTATTATAAATGTTTTTTAACTAAAAACTCTTTTTACATATTTTTATACTCTGAAAATACTGAAAATATCTAACAATTACTTATCAATATAACCACTAATACACTTCAACAACTTCAAATTATATTTATTTAATCTACTATATTTCTTAATACTCTCTCATTACCAATAAACAACTACTCTAATGCATATTACAATTTTCTTATCACTACTATTCAGAAAATATATTCTAAAACAATATATCAAAATACTAAAACCTTAATTAAAAAACAGAGTCTATACTTTTTAACCTTTTTAACAATCTCTTATACTGGGTTTATTATGAAATATAGTTTAAACACAATACTTTTCAATATCAATAGAAAATAGTTTAAAGTATTATATCAAAAACCAAATATATCAAATTTTTTACACTTTTATTTACTGATCAAACAAATCTATATAGACCTTATTTTTAATTGATAGATTTATATAATACTATTAAAAAATAGTATCTACAAGACTTCTCTCTAACAATATGCTTTCTATAATATTATTATTAACACTTTAAAGTTTTTTCTAACTAATTTTAACTAAAATTACTTTATTTATTTAAATTAATAATAGTATTAAATAGAGAATAGAAGATATAATATTATATTGGATACTTTTGTAGCACAAATATAGTTAGAAATCTTTATTATAGAATTCTTTTTAAAATTTTATCTTTTTATTATAACTAGTTTTAAGTTAAAGAAATTTAGCAGCCTGGTCAAATAACTTATTTGTCCTCTTATCCAAGTTTTTTTAATAACAAAAATACTATTAATTCTTAAATTAATTTAGATTTATTATAACAAAGTTTTTATTATAATATTATATAATAAAAAAAAAAAAATTTAATTTAGATTTAGTTTAATATTTGTTAAACTAGTCACTAGTCAAATATAAAAAAATTGACTACCAAATAAAATGGCTGATTTGACCTGAATTCGATAGCCAAATATTTGGCTAATTTTATATCAAATTATTAAAATAATTTGACCTGAATTTGATAGTCAAATATTTGGTTAATTTTATATCAAATTATTAAAATAATTTGATCTGAATTCGATAACTGTATGATTGGCTAATTTTATACAAATTTCTTGGAATAATTCAGCCAGAATTTAATAGTTGAATTCTATAAAAATTCAGCCTAAAATTAAACAAAAATTTGATAAATGAATTCAGGTCAAATTGGCCATTTTATTTGATAGCTGAATGTTATCTCTTAATATATAGACCAACACAGGCAAATTTGTCTGCATTTTTGCACTTTTTTAGCTCTGATTTACTTTTTTAAAATGCTAAAATATTTAAATAAAACTTTGCACAATTA